CTTCAAAAAGCTCTCTAGTAATTCAGAATGTTCCAAAAGTGTGAGTGAAGTTTTAAGCACCAAAAAGCACTAAGACTTTTAGGACACTTTTATGTGAAGGCTTGCGACAAGGATACATGTCTTTAAACCTGTAAAATAATATACGAAAGGTAATAGAAAACAAAATGAGTTTGTTCATTTCCTTTCTTTATGAAGAATAGTATACCCCAGAGTTTTAAAAGTTTAGTGGGGCTTGGGTAGATAGTGATAAAGATGAAAAGAATGAAGGGGAAAGGAGTTCCAAAGAGAAACGGGAAGGTGAAAAAGGAACAGGAATAAAGGAAGATTTAAATGGTGTGTTAGGCAATGAAGCAGCTCCTTGGTTGTTTGCATGGGATGGGAGTGAGAGTAAGTGAGGAGGACAGCTTATGAGTCTATACATAGTTTTGACCATTTTCTTTATAGAATCTGTCTCTGGAAGAAGGCTGTTATATGAATGGAGCTTAAATAAGAAAACAGTATACTTAAAGGAGAGAAACTTTATGAGAATTATAAAACTTTGAGCTAAGTATGTGACAGTTTTAACATTTATTTAGTCTGTTCCCATTAATTCTAAATTTATATACAAAATTCTCCCAATTTTAAGACAATTTGAAAATAATCTATCATTAGAAAATTCAGGGGTGATCCTAAATCTTGAAAAATAATGTAAAAACATAATCAAAGGACTGATATCAAAATGTTAACTGTTACAAACTAGATTTGTAGATATAGGTAAGGTCTTCCAACAATAAGTGATAAGGTATACAGAATTCTTTTTCATCATAAAGTGCTATGTAAATGCAAGCTATTGTCAATTTTTATTTCTTCATGGATACTTTTAATCCTCACAATATTATAGGCATTGATAACTATCTTTTTTTTAAATCCTAGGAATAGAAGTGGATTTTTTTCAGAGTAGAAAGTTCATGGACAGCTAGATGGTACAGCGGATAGAGTGCTGGTCCTGGAGTCAGGGAGCCCTGAAATCAAATGTGACCTCAGATATTTTCTAGCTGTGTGACCCTGGGCAAGTTATTTAACTCTGTTTGCCTCAGTTTCCTCATCAGTAAAATGAGCTGGAGAAGGAAATGGTAAACCACTCCAGTATCTTTGCCAAGAAAACCCCAAATGAGGTCACAAAAAATTGGACATGACTGAAAATGACACAATGACAAAAGAAAGTTTATAGTTTAACCATCACTGGATAAGTTTCCCTGCTGGGCAGCAGGTAACAGATTAATACTAAACTTCAAACTCTGTTTAAATTACATATTTATATTTTCCTATTGAATAATGTCTTTTTGAACTTCCTATGAATGACTTTAATGGTTCTTTAAAGGTATATTTCTAAAGTATTGCTTCAGTTCATTTTGCAAAAAATGCTTGTACAGTAGTAGTACAGACAGTAATCTTCAGAGGTCAAGTAAGATAAATTTACATTTTAGTTTTTTAAGTTGCTTTCCTAAGAAGAGAAAATGTTCAAGGCTAAAAGTTTTGGTTTTTTTTACACTTGCCTGTTGCTTTCAAATAGTATCTATAGAGAACTCAAGGTAGTAACAACAAAAATAACACTTTTTTTTGGCCTTTAGACTTCCCTCCAAGGGAATCAAAGTTCTATGGTACAACATCCTAGTCATCCTTCCAATATTCCATTTTTATACTGCAGCTTTTATTTCAACTAGTGAAAGGTTATTTAACCAGCTAGTTGCAGACCTGTGGGTAGTATACAGCCCTTCTGACTAATACACTTAAATTCATTTAGTCTTAAAATCTCTCCACCAAGGATCTCTCCAAATCAAGCATAGATTACTTGGAAACAAATTGCTTTAAAAAAATAGTAAGAAATGAATTCATCCTTGCAAAAAAAAACGCCTATCACAGAACTATATGTATTTGAATCCAATAATATATTTCAATTTCAATTAAATTTTAATATAAATTTGTTATAAACAGGTCAATGTGAAAAAAGTAAAAGTAACAGTGCTTGTTCTCTTCCCCAGGCTTCCTGCTGTTTATAGTTAAAACTTTGTCACCATTATTTACAAATATTTATTTGCACCAAATGTACAATACCAGGCACTTCAAGTTTTGTCAAGCAAATCAAAAGTACAAAGCTCGTAATTTTTCCTCTTCAATAAACTCATAGGTCCAGATACTCATTCTCCTCTCATTTTCTGCCCCCATTAACTTCAAAGAGAACATTACATTCTGGAAAAAATCTGCTGGCGCAAAAAGAACTTGAATTTAGCCCTAAGAGACAGAATAGGTCAGCCCTCTATAAATTAAGTCCTTCCCTATTTCTCTACCATCTTTGGTCTTAAAAAGTGCATGTGATTCAGAATTCCTTGGGCAAAATTTGAAAAGAAAGGCTTTGTCTAAAGGGCCCTTCCTTTCCTCACAACCAAACTAATTTTCTTCCTTTTCTTCTTCAAACATCAGTCCACAAGTTAATCTGCTTCATGAAGTCAGGCATAACTTCTTGTTTCACTTGTTCAATCATGTCCAACTCTTCGTGGCCCTATTTGGGGTTTTCTTGACAAAGATACTGGAGTGGTTTACCATTTCCCTTTCCAGCTCATTTTAAAAATGAGGAAAATGGAGGCAGAATTAAGTGACTTGCCCAGGGTCACATGGCTTGTAAGTGTCTGAGGCAAGAGTTGAACTCCAGAAGATGAATCCTCCTGACTCCAGGTCATGGATAGCACTCTCTCCATGGTGCCACCTACCTGGTAGTCATAACCACTCCCACTCATATCTAGTGATCTCATTCTCTTACTACCTCATTCACAATTTCATACAGCTTTTCCACCTATCTTTGTTTATAGCTTCTTTTATGTCTTTACATATCTTTATCCTACACTTTGCTAATTCCACTGAATTACAAAAACAATATTTTCTCTTTGGAATCAGACTATTCCAGTATTTGCTGGGTGAGTTAGTATCAGATTTTTTGTATTTTTGGAAAGGAAGAAAGAAGAAATGATATCCAAATGATCTATGGAAGAAACCTCAAAGATGATCAACTCCAACCTTTTAATTTTTGACAAACAGGCCACGGGGTAGCTAGGTGGTGCAGTGGATGGAGCACTGGCCTTGAAGTCAGGAAGACCTGTGTTCAAATCTGGCCTCAGACAATTTACACTTACTATCTGTGTGACCTTGGGCAAGTCACTTAACCCCATTGCCTGGCAAAACAAAAAAAAAAGACAGGCCTTTTACAACTTCTTGAGCAACTAGGTTGTTTTCTCTGTTTGCCTCTTAGGGTTGTTCACTCAAGTTCCCTCACAGTGATGAAATGGATTCAGACTGTCTCTCCCTAATTGTAACTTAAAATATTATGTGTACTCCATATTTTAAAAACAATGGAACTGAGGCCCAGAAGTGCTCAGTGACTTGCCCAAGATAACACAGCCAGTTAACAGCAGAGCTGGGACTAAAGATTGGTTCTCCTTTCCAGGTAAATGTTTTCTCACTACTCAACTAAAGCAAAAGAACTAATATTTGGGGATTTTAGAAGACAGGGATTTTCAAGTAAAAATTATCATATTGTCTCTGAAAGAGATTTAGCAAGTCCAAAAATCTCTTCAAAGGTTTCAGTCATGTACTGCATATCTTCATTGCAGCTAGGTGGCTCAGTGGGTAGGGTCAGGGAGATTTGAATTCAAATCCTGCCTCAGATATTTACTGGCTGTTTGACTCCGGACAAGCAACTTAACCTCTCAGTCTCAGTTTCCTCATCTGTAAACTTGGGTTAATATTCATCTTCAACTTTCCAAGGCTGTTGGATCAAATGAGATTAAAAGAGCTAAAAGCACTTTGTGCCATATATAGGCTATTGCTATCACTGCAGTGCCTTCAGCTAAATGAATTTTTTGAATGGGAAATTGAGCATATCATATATTCCGGTCTGGGCCAACTGGACAATTCCATGAAACAAACATGCCTTAAGCTTGTGGAACCAAAACCTCATCTGGTCAAAGGTATTTAGACTTCCACAAGCTCCTTTTCTTCAAATGAACTTTTTGAAAACTGGGGGTGATTTCCCCCCCACCCCCATTCAGAAGCTGTCTTTTAAGTGAAGCGTTCAACACCAGAGCCTTCCTAGTCCAGTAAATTCCACAGTTCCAATACTGGTTTCATCATCGCGGTCACATTAGCATTTTAGAGGCATCCCCCGCGAGTCACCCCTTTTAGTAGCAGGTAGCAGGTGCGTGCTTGTCCTCTTCTTAGTCCTGTTTAGCCTTTGATCCTACAGTAAGAGGGACGAGTGCACCTCGACGTTCGCCAGTTAGGTCAGGGTAGGGCTTGTTCCCTCTTCCATTGGCATCCCCCAGACTGGCTCTAAGGTTGCTATGACTCCTCTTCTCCAGCCTCCTACGAAATGAAACCAATGAACCCTATGAGCTTGGGGAGAAGGGCCGGGAGGGCGCAAGGAAAGGAGAAGTGATACAGTTATTTTTCGAAACAAATCACCCCGATACAATATGGCCAGGCCTTCAGAGGCTTCAAAGTAAAGCAAAAACCAAAAAAACAAAAACAAAAACTAGGCAGCAACCAAGCAACCCTTTCCCTCCATCCCTCCCACGCAGAGCAGCAATCCCTTCCCCCAATCGCGGCGCCGGAACGCCCTCCTCCCCCACCCCTGCCCGCGCCAGTTTTCGCCCGGTCCCTTCCGCGCCCCCGCCCTTTCTGTGGGGGCGAGAACTGGCGGGAGGCGCGCGAGCGCGTGCTGGCGGAGCAGCCCCGGCGGCGGCCGAGTAGGCGAGGAGAGGGAGGGGGACAGGGGAGCGGTGAGGGCGGGAGCGCGGGCGGCCGCCGTTGAGGCCTGGGGTGCCGTCGTCACACAGCGGAGCCGAGCAGGCAGGGGCAGGCACTGCGGCCGCTCGCGCTCGCGCTCGCGCTTCAGCCGCCGCCGCCGCCGCCGCTGCCTGCGCGGCGCCGGGACACAGCCCCCACCCCATCCCCGGGCCGGGCGGCCGGGCAGCGCCGAGAGCGCCGGGGGATCCCGTTATCATGTCGCTGAGACAGCGCCTGGCCGCGCTGCTGGTCTGCCTGCGGGACCCGCAAAAAGTGGCCAGCTTCCAGCGGCTGTGCGGGGTGGAAGAGGCGCGGCCGGCAGGGGCAGACGCTCCGCCGCGGAGAGAGCCGGGGACGGCTCCGGAGGACAGGGGCAGCCGCAATCTGGAGGGCGGCGGGGGCAAGCTGCGAGGCTGCGGCGCCCGGAACGGCGTGAGGAATGGGCTGCCGGAGGCCGGCGGGGACCCGGCCACGGCCACGGCTACGGCCACGGCCACGGCCACAGCGGGGGAGCGCGGGAGCAAGGCTACCCTCCACAACAGAACGCAGGGTCTGCGGCGCAACTCCCTCACCGGGGAGGAAGGGGAAGTGTACGGAGTGCGGAACTGGCTCCTCTTCTACTTGTTCTCCTTTGGCACCGAGTTGGGCAACGAGCTCTTCTACATCACCTTCTTCCCCTTCTGGATCTGGAACCTGGATGCCCTGGTGGGCCGGAGGCTCGTGGTCATGTGGGTCCTGGTCATGTACCTGGGCCAGTGTGCCAAAGACGTCATCCGATGGCCCCGGCCCGCGTCGCCGCCCGTGGTCAAGTTAGAGGTTTTCTATAACTCGGAGTACAGCATGCCCTCCACCCATGCCATGTCTGGCACAGCCATTCCCATCTCCCTTGTCCTCCTCACCTACGGCCGCTGGCAGGTAAACGTGCCCTTCCCTCTCCCTCCCTCCTTTCCTCTTCCTTCCCTTTCCTTTCTTTTTTCGTCTTTTCCTTTCCCGACCTTTCCGTTCCCTTCTTCTTCATACCCTTTTCTCTTCCCTCCACTTCCCAGCCCGTCCTGTACCTTCTCGTCCCTTCCCCCGCCATCTACTTCTGCCTTCCTGGAGGGACAAGGTTTGCTTGGGGGCCGATTCGTATCCGGCTGGATGGTTGAGGTTGAACTGGGGGGAGGAGGAGTTCATATGTAGTTTGAGAAGTCAGTCAACTAAAGCATTTAACTAGTGTGCCTGGCACTGAGCTGTGTGCTGGGGATACAGAGAAAAGCAAAAGACAATCCCTGCTCTCAGGGAGCTCACAGTCTCGTGGAGGAAAACCACAGTGCAAAAAAAAAAAAAAAACCGTAGGTGCAAACAAGATCTTTACAGGATAAATTGGGATCGGTCTCTGGGGGAAGGAACTAAGATTAAGGACTAGGGAAAGCTTCTTGTAGGAAGTGGGACTTGAGCCTAAAAGACTAAGGGAATCTGGAAAGCCTGGAGGCTCAAATGAAGAGGAGGGGGGCGGGTAGGGTAAGGTGGGGAGTTTAGTTGAAATCCGCCGCATTAAGTTGCTTACTTTTGCTCGTTTGAGTTTTGACTAGCTCCCTTCCAAATGATGTCCTTCCCATAGGTTTGCAGCCAGTCGATGTGTAATTATTCTAGGAGCACTTATAGGTCCCAGCATCAAAAAAACAAATCTTCCCCTAGATTTCAGGGAAGCGAACAGTTCTTAATGTGTTCATGGGCTTCCTGTTGAGATGCTCTTACTAAAATTTCTGACCATAGATTAAATTTATATAGGGAAGACACATAAATACCCGAACTCTCAGGGTAATTGGTTAAGACCCAAGCAATATGACTCAGCCCATAAAATGAATTAGTATGCAAAGGCTTTCTTTTCTGTGACAATACGACATGAGTATAATTTCAAAATGTACTTCTACAAGTCAGGAATGTTAGTACTAGGCATACTATGAAGGACTGAAAATGCGGTTAGAGTTAATGGAATACAGTAGACTTGGAAACTGTTTTTAAAGGGGTGTGGTTGTTATTTGCTTGTAGGCTAAGAGCATTTTACTTCTGGATCACTAGTTTCATTTGCTGAACTACTTTTTATTGTTGCAGAATCTGTAAAATGTGTTTTTTTAAATGTATTTTGAGTAGGATGTGCCTTCCAACTTCAAATTAGTTATGCTATGATAATTTTAAGGAATCCACAGATTAGATAATAAATATGGTTATTGGTCACTTAAGAATATGGACAAACTTTTCTCCTAAGAGTGGATTTTTAAAATGTTAATTATCTCATTTGTCTTCCGGTACTCCATTTTTCCTTCTTCATGAATGTTCCTCCTTTTTATTTTTTTATAACCATCTTTTTCCTTCATAAAGTACATGTGTAGGATATTATATCTGCTTTTTATGCCTTTTCCTAAGTTCTAAAGAAGAGGTACTGCAGACCAATCAAGCTTTAATAGTAAAATGCATCATATTATATCTTGTAGGATGATCTTTCTAAGGATGAAAACTTTTATTTTCCTTTGCTGTTTCAAAAAACAAACAAATTACCTAAAGTTGCGGTATACATTCTCACTAAAACCCCCATTAAAAGCTGCCTCACTATTATCGTAGATTTGGTTAATACTGGTAGATGAAATAATTTCTCCTGTGTATTCTAGTACATCTCTGTTGATGTAACAATAGCTTATAAAATGTCTCTTAACATTAATCACTTCTTTGCAGAATTTTAGATCTAGTCTAATCAACGTCGTTTTACAACTTAAGGAAACAGAAGCCTGAAGAAGTTGAGCCACATAGTCAGGGCCACGCAGAAAGTAGTAACAAAGCTAATATTTGACAGAGCTGGGACTAGAATCTGGCTCTTCTGACTTCCAGTACAGAGTTTCATTCACTATGCTAGTAACAGGATTCTGACTTGTTAATGATCTATCCACCACACATGGCAACAGATTTCTGCTGTGGAGGTGGCAGTTTTTAAGTGATAATTCAGATCTTAAAGTGGTACTCACATCTTTTTGCTTCTGTCAGTGAACACTGTAAATCTTTCAAAGTAAAATTAACACTTCCTGATTTAAGCGTCATCATTGAAGAAGGGGGTTTAGATTGTCTTGGAATGCTACTTATATCTGTAAATGGGCTTTTACTTTTTTTTTTTGCTATACTCATATTTTTGCATCACAGAATCCTAGAAACTCTGAGGTAGAAGGGACCTCTGAGGCCATTTAGTTAAATCCCATACCTGCCTGACCAAGAATCCCCTCTGCTACATAACCGTCAAGTAATCATCTGGTCTTTGAAGGCCTTCAGTGAGGAAAAACAAACTACCACCTAAAACGCCCCATACCTCTTTTGGGTAGCTCTGTTAGGGAGTTTTTTCTAATATCAAGCCTAAATTTTACTTTTATCTAACTACACGCATTGATCTTAGTTCTGACTTCTGGGCTAAGCAAAACAAGTCTAACCCTTCTTCCACATTAATTATAGCCCTTTAGACACTTGAAGATAGGTCTCATGTGCAACCTAAGTCTTTTCACATTGTGAAAAGTACATAGTGCTATAGCACATTGTGTACAGTACTTCTACGAAGAACCTCTTCTTAATCGCCTTCATTCAGTAGTTATTTGTGTTCTAATTCATGTTAACAGGTAAGAAAGACTAGTTCTGTTTTTGTCCATTCATGCAGAGCAAATGCTGTTCACTGGTCTTTAGACACTAACATGAAATATGAGTCATTTATGGAGCATAAATCTTGATATTTTGACACCAGGTTTATTTGAATCAAGGTGCAACTTTTTTGTCCAGCTTAGAATATTTTATTTGTAAGTTGACCTTTTAAGTTTTTTGGGGGGTGGTTATAATGAAGACTTTTATTGACTTTAAAGTTGTTTTTATTTGTTTGTTTGTTTTTGCTTTTTGGTAAGGTGATGGGGGTTAAGTGATTTGCCCAGGGTCACGCAGCTGGTAAGTGTTAAGTGTCTGGGGCTGGATTTGAACTCAGGTCCTCCTTACTCCAAGGCCAGAGCTCTATTCACTGCGCCACCTGACTGCCCCTATTGACTTTAAAGTTACTAAAAATAAGCCTTGTAAAATTAGTTTTAAAACCTTTACATTTTAAAAAATCTCTTTTCAAAAATAAATGCTTTTGCATTTGAAGAAAAATTTAATTCTTAGTCGTTTTGAAAGTTCATCTAGTGAAAGTTCTGTCAGTACCAATGTGTGACTGTAGTAGAAAAAACCTACCTGATCTTTATAACTTTCTAGTCTTTTAGTAAAGTGAAAAGCCATGTGCTTGCTCTGTCTTTGAAATGCTGCAGCAGGTCAGCAACTTTGGTACTACTCACAAGGTTATCATGTTTCTGGGGATGGATGGTAAAGGGAATTCTTACCTTAAAATTGTTAAGATAGGAATCAGAAGCCAAAAAAGAAAAAAAATGCCTCATGAACCCACAGCTTACAAGTTTGATTTGAGAGCCCTCTGTTCATCAGCTGGGCTCTGTTTTCTATTTCTATATATCTATTTCCATGGCCTCTGTTCTTGAAGTTGAGTTATCATAACACCATCCCTTTTACCTTATTTGAAATAACACTTCTTTCTGCTGTCAAAATTCTGCTCAAGATTGAATGTGTGTTTGAAGTTTTTTGATTAGCCCTTCCTAATCTTATATTCATTGAACCCATTTATTCTACATCCTTGACCCCTGCACAAAATGATTGTGAACTTTTATGTGTCTCCATTTACTTGTATGATTTCCTCTGTGGATATATTCCAAAAATAAATTTTGAGGAAAAAGTAATTGATTCCCCTAAGCAACAGTATTCCTTTTTAAGCCCCACCCTCCTTAATCCTATGGAAAAATTTCTCTTGGCTCTGGAAGTAATCCTCTGCTGTTATTTGGGCTGCTGTCCAATTTAATTCTGCATTCCTAATTTGCTAGCCTTTAACAGTTATTTGTGACGTCACAATGAGAGACTGAAACTGTAGTGCCTCAAGCAGTTAATGGGCCAGGATTTATTTTTATTTTTTAAATTTTTTGCTTTAGTGCATTTGGTACAGTCATTGGCAGGGGATATTCTGAGATGAACAATTTTGACAGCCTTTGCCTTATGTTAACATTAGTGATTGCTATTCTCATTTAATTAGTTGGATTTGTGTGCAACATGAATTGGAAAGCACATTTCTCTTTATGAACATGTCACTTAATATCTACTTATTGTCAGGCACTTAACTGTGATTTTTATGTGCTATATGGCACAGTGGATATAGTACAGGGACTGGAGTCAGGAAGACTCATCTTTGAGTGAAAATCTGGCCTCGGAAGCTTACTAGCTGTGTGACCCTGGGCAAGTCACTTAACCCTGCCTTGGTTTCCTCATCTGTAAAATGAGCTGGAGAAGGAAATGGCAAACCACTGTAGTATCTTTGCCAAGAAAACCCCAAACGGGGTCCCAAAGAGTCAAATGAGACTGAAATGACTGAAAAATCATTGTGTATATGTCTGTCCTGAAATAAATATTTTTGAGTAATCTGAAATCTAGCTAGTTCCATTGATATCTTTTTAACATTTGGTTAAGCCATTCTTGCAAATGAATTCCAATTTCTTTACTTGAACTCACCCAGTTTTTAATAGTACTATTCCCAACTCCTTTGTACCTACATTTGTTGCTTTCCATAGGTATATAATTTTTTCTTTTTTTTTTTAGGCAGTTGGGGTTAAGTGACTTGCCCAGGGTCACATAGCAGTGTCAAGTGTTTAGTCTGAGGCCAGATTTGAACTCAGGTCCTCCTGACTTCAGGGCCAGTGCTCTATCCACTGCACCACCTAGCTGCCCCTTCCATAGGTATATATAAGAAACTCTCTCACATCACATTTCATCTAAGAAGTTTTTCCAGAAAAGATAGTGTAAATAAGTTTTTACTTCTT